TAAACATATAAAAGAAATTGCTAGCTTATCGAAAAGATTGACGAAAGTTTGTATCGCCCCTCTTATGCAAATACTATGAATATGCAATTCGATAAATTATGGAAATTCACAATTGAATGTAAAATCAGATAATTCTGGAGATGAGAATTTTTGAAATTTTTATTCCAGGCATCAATCTTTACTTCAGACTGAAATTTAACAAGAAAATGACTTGTGGAACTTCTTTTCTCAAGAAATGGAAATATTGTTACATTCGTAGTTTTGGCATAAAGGGAACGATATACCTGCGAAGGAATTCGCTAAAATTGAAAAATAATCTTCAGCTAATCACAGATCAAATGAACCTAATTATTGTGTCACTTAAGAAGCATATTATGTCAATTCTTCGTTCAGAATTTGGAACAGCTCCTAAATGGACTGTAAACGACTAAGAAGAGGCCAACTCGTTACGATAAATGTGCAAAGTCGTTTTCGTCGGCACCGTGCAAGTGCGTCAGAGAAGCGTGTATCTTCTTAACGTTTCGGCGTCGTTCATAGAGGAGGCGAGTGTGCATTTTGCACAGGTAGCATAAGCATACTCTTAGGAGAACTAGGGACAGAAAATTCCCAGTCATTAACGTGCCGGCGACGAGTGGGCGTCGACGAACCAACGACTCGAACTGCTGTTACTTCCTGCGACTCTTTAAGAGCATCACGACCCTGCTATCTCTTCGATCCCGACAGTAAGTTTTCTCCCTCGTGCAAACATTTCAAACTCGCGGATAATCCCATGAGTAAACCACCGAAAGTCAATCTGCGCCGGTTCGGACCGTTTGCATACCTAATTGCAGATTTTCCACCGCAGCTTTGCGCTCGTCTCTGTCTTTCTACCCATTTCCGTCCTAAAATTCGTAAGATTGAACAACAAACAAAGATGAAAGAAACAAACGATTGTTTTTGTAAAATTCATATTTACTCGTGAAATTAGAGGAAATTTTTGCAAATTTTCGAATATAATTACGCACGTGAACTTGTATCGCGAGGATCGGTAAAAGCACTTAGGCGTTAAATCTGCAAAGGGTTCACTTGAACCTTCGATTACAGTGGTACCTGACTTTTCGGTATTTAAAAGTTAAATCCACGAGAGATATATATCTTAAGTAATGGACGCAATTAGCAATGGAAAATCCAACCTGTACCTTGGAGACACATTATAGAAATGACCTCTTGATCTCTTGTATTAGTGACATATTTGAAGATTCGAGCGAGGAAGTATGTATGTAAAATTTGTAATCTCCTATGAAACTTCATTCAAATAGGTACCAAAATATAGATGTTCAAAGGTATGGAATTTTGAGTTGATCCATTAACGCGTAATTAACAGTGGAAAAACCATATGAATCACCTAACTGGCATTTTCTGTATACACTATCGTCCATAAGTATTAAAAGACTTATTAAATGGGAATGAAACCTAAGCAGCCATTGCAAAATTATTAAGATCCTGAAAAAAATGATTCAGTGCGGAATTTTGCAGTACGAGTAAATACGAAAAACTTTCTGAATACCTATTTTTATTCAAAGTCACAAAAATAAGATCCTAATAGTGTGCCGTTGTTTATGCCACACCGAACATTGTCACAAAATTGAATTGGAAAATGAATTTGTTGCAGGTCATTGAGTCGCTTTCATATAATATAAAGAAAACTAAAACCATCAATTAAAAAACAATTTTCAACATCGTCACTAAGCAAAAAAAAATTGCAAATTTGAAAAATCTGTTCAAGCCATCGTATTGTGCGTAAAAAATAATGAAACTTTGCCCTCTTCCATTTTTCTCCCAAATCTACTACTTACACGAGAGAAACGCTGGAAATTAATAGCGCGAACACCCTGTATACAGGGTGTCGTCGCCAGAAAAAGAACACCTAAATATCTCCGTTAGGAATAAAGATAGGAGAAAATGTCAAAGAGAAAAGTTGCACAGTTTATAATGACAAATACGATGATATAAACAGATCTTCTGATTGACGTTATTTTCAAGGTTTCTTAAAGGTCATCGATGGTTTTTTAAATAACACCATATATTTTTGACTTCATAGCGTAGCAACTGATATCAAGTCGAGTTCCACGATATAAAATACTAACTTTAGCTACGAAATGTAATTTAAACCATGTAACACTTTCTACTCGAACATAACGGGTGTCCTAATACTTATGAACCGTGAGAATCGTCAACAAACTTTCAACAATTATTCCAGTGATTAATTCAAAGTTGAAGAAGAAGGAGAAAAAAACTGTTCTCAGGATCGACGCCATGCTCCATGTCGTTGAATCCACTAAAAGTGGCGCCCTTGTAAGTGGAGGGATTACTCCGTCGCGACGGCTGCTGGAAGACCCGTGCGCCAATGATTCGAGCGCGTCTGGTCCTTTTAAAAAGCCTCTCGAGATTATCAAGCAACCAGATAATGCCGTAATAGCCGCGATAGAACAACGCGTGCAAAGCGGTAGCACGCGCCCCGTTTTCCTTTCATCTCGCTGATTAGTTTGAATACATACATCGAAAGTCACATGTGCTCGGTTCAACTTGGCGAAATGAACGAATTAAAAATATACCATCCCGCTACGATTCACATTTACAAAGCTACAAAGAAACATTTCACATTTTTCACTGAAAAAAAAAAAAGAAAGAAATTACCTATTTGAAAATTCGTCAAACTTCGCCGAGTTTTTCTCCCTTAAGTCTCACGACTGCCGTGAACTCGTAAACCCGTGAGGACACTCGGGACAGATCGGTAACAGGCGTATCACAGCGAAACGTGAAATTAATTATCTCCGCTTTAAAAGAGCGGTGTGTCCCTTGTTACAAGGGGGGAGGGAAGAAGAGAAGGATAGCTGGAAGAAGAGAAAACGAGCAGAGACCCCAGGATTGCACTTCTGGAATGCACGTTTTCTCTGTGCCTATTCACATCGGCCTCTGACGCAAGGACACCAACAGCAAGAACACCGGGGGGGGTTAGAAGAAGAGGACGAGTGGACGTCGGATCGTCGGGGAACAAAACGAATCGAAGCACGGTAAAAGGGAACGGGAAGAAGGAACGAGTCGATCGTGACACGGAATACTGATCGGTGCAACAGAAGCCTGAAACGGAGTGCACGTGGTTGGCACGTGGTGGCACTTCTTCTCACAAGGGAAGATTCTGTGGAGAGACCGGAAGGCACGGATATGCAGACGGACAAACACCTTCGTAACTGTTGTAAAACCAGGACCGCCCACGAGTCACCCCGTGTACACTCCTTCTTTCCTTCGTCTCTGTTTTATTCACCTAACTAACGAGGGATGTTCGGTGAGCGCCGAGAAATCGGAGAAATTTGGAAACTTCGCTGAGATGTTGTCCAATTGACGCTGATAACGAAACCGTTTTTTGCTTAGGCAATGAAACTGTCTTAAGGGTGAAAATACCCTGTAAAGAAATTGCGAGTTTTCATATTTTATCGCGAATATTTGCGAAACCGTACGAGATATGGGAAAAATGTTATACTCAAAGTTGGATGGATTTTGATGTGCTACATTGTGGTGGTAAAGGATTTTCTAAACATTAGTTTTTTCGAAAGATTAAGAGTGATGGAGGTAAATTTTGAAAAAGTTTAGGTAAGTGAAATTTAGGTTTTTACCGTTCTTAATTTTTGTGTTTGGGATTTTAATGGTTCGAAAGAGATCTCAGCGAAGCGATGGAGAAAGTGGAAACCAAACTTCAGAGATATTGTTCTATTTTTGTTCCTAATTCTATTATTTGTTGATTCTGTTTAAAGGTTTGTAATATTTCTTGACTTATTTATAAGAGGGTGTTTTACCCCGGCTTTAGGTGTTCCACCTAAGATTTAAATAAATAATTATTTTCTGCTATTTGTTAGTACGTTTTGTTCATAATTAAGGAATACTTGTAAAGATAAATGGCAAATTAACATGATTTAACAGATAAAATAAAGAATTACTAAAACATCTTTTTATCGATTTTTCTTTAAAAGTGAAGAATATTGAGACTCGCTATAAAAATAACAAATTACAATCTCACTACTAGAAAATCAAATTAACCGCGTTTTACACAACAAAAAGGTAAGCAAACACACTAAAAGATTCAGAGATCACAAAACTTCAGTTAGGCAATTCCTATCGCGAAAGGAACTAACTCGTTCTTCCCAGAGGAATCTCCAACATGTAACATTATCCAAATCTATCGCGACATTTAACCAACGTTACCATTAATTTTGCATACATTTGTATCTCATAACACATTTCGTGAAACGTAAGCGCACGTTCCAGATCACCGGATATTACGAAATAGGCTAAAGAATCTTGTCACGTTCGTGTCACGTTGGCGTTTCCCTCCCCTTTGATTTCCGCGTTCCCGACGAAACGAAGCCATCTGGTTGACATCAGCGTGTTATCTAGCGCGAGAAACAGCGCGAAATTCTCGGTAATCTTATCCTAGATAACTACGCCCGCGTATCTATCTGAAAAAGGAGTGACCGGTAGCTCGATCGTTTCCGGCGAAGAACCAGCAGGAAGTCGTGATTCGTCCTACATCCGTCCGGTCTATACGACTTTTCCCCGCAAAATCTACCTTGGTAAAATGATTCGTAGATCGGTGGTATCGATAAACGGGGACACGTCGTCACGACCTTACTTTTACGACCTTTCTTGACCACCTTCCGTGAAACTAATCGCCCTGTCGTCGCTTGAACGCGTCCCTCGTTAAAGGCGTCTACTTGCCTGACCTAACTGACGTGCAGCCTATGTAATATGAAAACCTCGTGTAGGTACGAAGAATTTTGACTCATCGTTCGTGAACGATAATCGAAATTGGAAAAATGTTGGAAAACTTTCAGATTGAACGCTGATACTTTGCATAAACGTAGAAGAACTGTTTAAGTTTCTATAGATCCGTTGAGTTTGTTGGATTTTTAACAGCAAAGCAGCAATCAAATTCTCCTTTTTTTGCGGTGCAAAAGGACGTCATTGTAAAGACAGAGAATTTGGACGGTGAACTGCCTAATAATTTTAACATTACTGCGTGATTTTCTCTATTGCGTAAAATTTCTCTACTTGCGACGTAATGGGTTCTCCGCCCTTTAATTTGCTAGCATCACTGCTTTGCAAATTAATATAAATAAATTTACCGATCTACCAATCGTCCATCCTTTATCATTTACACCTTTATCGAGATCTATATCAGCTTCATTAAGACACCCCACCAACTGTTGCAGTTCCAGCAAGAACTACACGCCATATTTGCGTAGCGCGAAGTTCTTGCCGTTGAGTTTGATGAAATTAACCCTTGTGTCGGCAACCGGGAACCCATTTCTACATTTCCTTTAACAATTTTTGGTGTTCTTGTGAAAGTATCGTGAAACCACTCAGGATCCCCACTTTTTAGCATTCGAAGAAACTTATGCAAATATTAAGACACTTTGAAAATATTCAAATTTGGTGACTTTTCATTGGAAAATGAGGCAAGAGGAAGGCCAGATAGGGCCTGGGATGATAACATTCTGAGAAAAATGATTAGAGACAATTCACGATAAAGAATATGAAATTTTACCACATTCTCCTCTGTTAACTAGATTTTCGGACTCCTGCACAATTTTCTTCTAACAAATAAATTATTCCGAAACGAAGACGCTGTAATGATGGCGTTCGAAGAAGTTTTTCATTCAAAGACTAATGATTTTTCTATATCTGGAATAACGGATCTAGTCAATCATCGAGAAAAGTGTACAGAGTCGTGTGGAAATTATTTCCGATTAAACACGTTAACTTTTGAAGAAACGCAAATTTAAAGTTTCGCTTGAAAAGACGACGTCTCGTATGCACCAACATGCTACATTGGAAACGAATGAGAAACGTTTGTTGGAACGTGAAAACAATCGAGGGACAGGTTGCATTTTTTTCCAGGTGGAGTCGCTAAGGGTTTCGACAGCGACAGAGGGTGTGGTCGCATGGCGCCTGACGAACCATTCCACCCTGGATGGAATTCAAGGTAAGAAATTTCAACAATGTACGTCGAGAGACGAGGCAAACCTATTGCAGTGATGTTTTCAATTTCAAGTTACAATAAACAATATGATGCGCAAGTCAAGGAGTTTTCAACCTTTTCATTTACCGTCTCCACGAATTCAACTCGCAGATTCTACATTCTTAAAAATACTGCTAAAGAAAAATTATAGAATGCTCACTCACCGGCCCACCTTCGTAATTATCATTTCCGTAGTTTCTGCGTGGAATTGCTGCCAGAGTTCCCGATTTTGCAATTCAATCCGCACTGCCGAAGGCAGAGGAGGTCCTCCGCCTAAACTCGGTATTATCCACGTATTTGGATTCGATATGTCTTCTGAAAGGTTCAAATATCGACTCTGTTAATTTACAAATTAAAAATTAGACATGGAAACTCATCAGATATAAAATTATCGATCAACTCGAACGGATTAAAGAATCGGTAGGTATGTCTTCTGAAAGATTCAAATATCGACAGAGTTAATTTGCAAATTAAGAATTAGATATGGTAACTTCCCTCAAAATTCTAAAATTATCAATGCAACTCGAATCGATTAAAAATTCGGTGTATACGTCTTCTGGAAGATTGAAATTACGGCACTGTTAATTTGCAAATTAAAAATTAAGCATGAAAATTCCGCATAAAATTCTAAAACTTATTACAACTCGAATCGATTAAAACTACGAATCAGCCACACCGAAAGAGTCTATTAGCTCTCCTAACCAGAGTTCCCACGAATCTACGGAACCATGACTCTCACGGAGCAACAAATAACCGGAGCAACGTTATTACTAACGGACCAAAAAGTAGAATCGTATTTTCGCAACGAGGAATAAAACGAGACGGACCGTTTGCAGAAAAAGGGAGGAAGGGAAAAAACGAAGGAATAGGAAGAAAACAGTAGGTAGAGTCTTTAGCAAGAATCGTTATAGCGCTCGTTCTATCCACCTAGACAGTGAAACGGAACAAGCGAAAGAGGGACAAGAAATTGCGCGGATGAGGTAACTCGAATACCGAGAAGAACACCTTTTGCAAGTGGATCTATAGAGGCGGCATCGCTTGGTCGCATGAGCGACTCTCTCTCTGCACTTGTTGTCTCGCGGTTCCTGCGGTAGAGGCATTAGGCTCCGACCAGGATAATTGCGGCCATCGGTTCATCTTCTTTCTCTTCCTGTCGAGAGGACACCGGTACACAGAACCATTCTATGGAGCAGATAACGATTGTCCGCTCGACCGAAAGTCGGCGCCTTTCATCTTTAGCCCGAGAGAAGAAGCTCGCGGTCGGATCTATGTCGCCTCCGCGACAACTTGTCGCGTATTATACGCACCCTCGTGTCCAACCTTCCCTTCTCGTTCCTTCCCCGACACGTGAGAAGCGAAGGGAGGCAAGAAGAAATTCGCGATCTGCGTGAAGGTGAACACCGACCGAGGATCGACGATCGAGAAGTTCAAGCGGTTCGCGGCTGCATTCCGCGCAACTTTAATTGGATGAATTGGTGAGATTGGCATGAGAGGTCGGTGTCGAGATCCGCCAAGTGTAAGAGAAAGAATTTTCTTTTTATTCACAGCGTAGTTCCTTCTTTCCTGTTCGATTTTTGGATATTACGATTGACTTTTTTGGGCGCGTAACGAGAAATTTGTGTTTCTGATGTGGTAACGTTTAAGCGGAATTTTGCATTAAGACACTTTTTTGGAAAGATTTCACTTGGAATTTCACTTCTTCGTTGAACTAAGAGAAATAGTAAAATACAATGGATACGCTATCGCTAAATAAGTTTAATCGTGTAATGTAATGCGATGTAATTCGATTGATTTCATTCAAGTCGATGAAATTTTAATTTCGTTTATCAAATTCGAAGTTTCGTCGAAGACCTCGTCTAATTTATTTTTTTTTACAGTTATTTTCAGTTTTATCGCATTTTTACGGATACGATTAAACTTTCGAGAGATAACGCATACCTATACAACGTTTATGCAGTAAAATTAAGGACTCGTGTGTCATTCATATGCACTTAGATAAGGTTTTCCTTCGGTTAAATTACTGACTGAAATTATTCTACAATCTATAACACAGCACTGAATCTTAACATCACTATTTCAATTACCATCGTAAGATTAGAACAATCGAACAATGCATTTGGTTCACTCTAACAATAAAATCAAGCGGTAACAATTTCAAAAAAATGCAACTTTCGAAAAATGTCAGCGATCTTAAAAACACGCGCGGCAATTCGAAACACTTGGATCAACCACTCTTCATTTAAAAACTGCAAAACGCAGAAAATTTGCTGTACCAACCTGGTCTGTGTCTTCGAAGAACGATTTGTTGCTGTCGGTAGAGCATTTGTTGATGCAGTTGCTGCTGCAATTCCATCGGAATCGCCATGATCGAGTTCATCTTGAGAATCGAAGAAACCAGTCGATCGTATCGATTAGAGTAACACTGGATCGTGCGATCACACCGAAACACGCACGAGAATTCGTTGAAAAATCGTCTCGTCCGACGTTTCCCGCGTTACAGCCTGGTGACGACTGAGGATGCGTTTCGCAATTGCAAAGACGGCTCCGTTGCAACGATCCATCGCTGCACTCGCCAGGCTCCCGCTGCGATTGGTCGACGCTCTATCCCTACCACTGGTGCGCCGCGCCCACGCTGATCCGATTGGTCGCTGCAATTCCAACTTGCCTGAGGTTGCTGCTGAACATATATCGGAAGACGCGACGATGCAATAGCATGCTAATGAAAATGATAAGAAAATCATGGAGGAAGCTAACAGACCGGAATGGACGCTAGATGCGATCGTACGAAATGAGATACACAGCGGAGAATTATTGCGCAAAATGATATTCGAACGGAAGATGAGATGTGCAAGTAAAAAATGATAGAATTTTTAAGAATTTTGTTTATCTCTTCTTCTTTAAACTTTTTATTTATTCATTTATTTGACGTCTTTATTGTGTGTACAGAAGAAAGGAGAGCGTGGAGTAAAATGATGCAGTTATGGATAGCTGTTTTAATTTAGTATATTTGTGTAAGAAAAAGACAGAAAATGTAAATAGAAAAATATAAAAGAATTACAAGTGAATGGGAATTGAGAAAAAGAAATAAAAAAATATAAAAGAATTACAAGTGAATGGGAATTGAGAAAAAGAAATAAATACACGTGTTAATTTTCTTATGTTAAATTTGTTCTTTATATTACATTAAGGATCCTTCGTATAGCGCGAATTGTTCTAACATAGAATTGTACGAAAAGCATTCTATCACTGCTCGATTAATTCTTTGTAAAATAGTAAATAATAAATTCTTATAATAATAAACCAATTTCAATACATCAAATTACAGCCAAAAATACCATCGACAGAAGTAAAAATGCTTAATAACCAACATAAATACTCTCCTATCTTCTAAAATTAATAAAAATAGATCAAAGATGATCAGCGCCGCATTTACCATAAGGCTTAAGCAATAAAAAGAACTGAAAATATAAATATAAAAAACAGCTTAGTTATAAGTGCGAAATAAAATACTTATTTCTAAATATTAAATTCATAATATAAAAACAGCAGGTCGCTGAAAACGGAAACGCCAAATTCATTTAAAAGACTTGTTCCATTGAAACCTCGCAATGATGTCGCGCCTAGAGCCTCCAAAAGTGTAAAATTGTCCCCGAAGTGTAATAATAAACGATACAAAATTAACGAAAAAGAAAATTCTACGCAGACTCGCGCCGAGTCTCTTCGTTCCCGCGGGCACACGAAGTAAAATCGCGTGACACGCACGAACCCGCGTCAACTCGCTCAGATTCACGCGGTCGGTCGGCGTATTTGAGGCGTGCGCGTTCACTGTCTCGGCACACGATCGCATTAAGAAACGATCCGCCGAGTCGTTAGGTATAAGAGAACGGAGGAATCGTCACCATAAATTACGGAATCCGGGCGTGCAGACGGCCGTTAATAGTTTGTTCTCGAGTCTCGGCGACGAGACGAGGCGAGAAGATAAAATCAAGAATCCGTCCGCGGTGCGTCGGCGGTCAAAGAGGAACGGAACGAAGCGCCGCGCGATACAAATCTACGCTTTTCTCGCTCCCCTATTGCCCTTTTTCTTGTCCACCATCGTTCCCTGTCGTCGCTTCGCCTCTTTTTTTTCCTTTCTTCTTCTTCGTCTTTTTTCTCATCCAACGGAGAAAACGTTTCTCTTGCCGCCTACAACGCCGGTCATCGCACCATTGTAGTGGGTTCCGGATTGTGGATTAACTGTAAGCGATACCCACAACAAAAGCGCGCGCGCTTTTACCTGACAACTTCGGCTACCTGTATTTCTGCTGCTTTACAGCGGCATTGTAATGCCTCTCGATCGTGTCATCGTAACCATTCCGAGCATTCACCACCTTGAATTCCAGCTGAGAACGCTTGTTATCGATACGCGTGTATCGATGAGAATATTCCATGGATCTGTTCGTTTATCTGGTAGAGGCGATCCGTCTCTGACACCGGTAGGGGAGAGTCGGGGAAACACGAACGTGGGGTAATTGCGAATTCGCGTATATATGGTGTTATAAAAGCACGAACGATTCCTCCGTTTACCACATGATCGTTCGTACCGAATGGAATGCTAGGTCACCAATGAAAAACAGTTGACACGCACACTGATCGAGGTAGAAACTATCGAAGATTTTTGCTCTTCGTCTAATTTTTTGGAGAAAGTAAGGTAAGTGTAGCTTTTGCGTGTATAATTATCTCAATGCTAATGGATTATGCGTTACGATTGCTGCGAATGGGAAAAGTGCAGCGATGGACAGAGCACTTCTAGAGGCTATTTATGCGACTTTTGTAAAAAATAAGTAGCGTTCGTGATTACCCCACGACAGTTAGGTCTGTCACGAACAGCAACGATTTGGTTTTCCTATTAAAAATTGGTTTTATTTTTAAATTTTGTTAAAATTCGTTGTAAAAATAAATAAACAGATAATACGTGTTTTTGTATAAACGATGAAAAAGTTATTACCTTTGTAATATTTTGTTTTATTCAATTTTTTCCTTAGGCGTTCGTAACTCCCCTACTCTCCCCTACTCTGAGAAACACGGTTTCGACGTAATACGGTGCAAAAATTACTACAACCCTCCTATAACACGGTATTTTTATAAAAAATTGCGACAACCCTTCTATAATACGATATTTTTATAATAGAGTTTCCGTAGGGTAAAGTTGCCTAATATGAGACCCATTTCTTAAAGAAGTCATAACTGTCGACTAAGTACACTTTTATTAAAATTCGATACATGTTTTAAAAGTACGATATGTATTCTTTTGTAAGGTACTGGAATGTACAGTAAAGAAAATTCGGTTCCTTCGTAATAAAATAAAAACGAAAATTATGCAAATAATGGGTTCCTAATATGAGAAAACTATTTTTTCTGTCTTTTTTCACACATTGGGCATATTAAATCATGCTTCTTCAGCACCGCAGACTTCGTGGGCTCACCGGTAACACTTTGTACGCTAAAACAAAATTGGGTACCTAATATAAGACTCTTCTTATAATAGGAACTTCCGAGTAGCTTCGAGATTAAGTCTTCGTTATTTAACGATACGCAACTAGTAAGCCTTAAACTCCATTGCATGCACTATACAACCGTATTTATGAAAATGATTATAAACTCACTATTTTCGAGGTATTTGTAATTTAATCGAACCACTTGAAAAGCTTTCTGCAACGTATTGCACAAATATGCTTGTTGAAGACGCTTGATTGATCTGAATCAAATTTGATATTTAATTCGATAATTAACGCGGTTAATTACGAAACAAAACAGCATCGACATTCAAGAGTTCTGTAACGGAGATATGCCGGAGTCTCATATTAGGCTACTTTACCCTATAGCAGGACATAATAAACTTGACCAACTCTCGTATAACACGAATTTTTCCATCGCCCTGTTTCGGTTGAAATTAACAGGGTATTCCCCTTGTATAGGATAATAACGGCGTTCTCTCTCCTTCTTCTTTATCAGCGATTCAAAATTCAGCTAGATTTGAAGATTTATTTCGCTCTTCGAGGCGTTTTCTTCACCGCCGCTCTAATTTCGCGACGTGGAAACAACGACAAACGTAGAAACTAAAGACACCGATTCCCACAGACTAATGTGGAATATTCGCTTTCATCATGCGAAAATTTCGTACTTCAGTGTGAACAAACGAACGCGAATATTTCGCGTTGATCTCGGGGATTCCCTAAACCTGCCGAATCGCAAAGACGTCGCATCTCTCGTCTGCACCTTGATCTGGAACTTATTGTTTCGTCCAGTCGTAATTTGCAAATGATGCGTGTGAATTTACAATTATGTATTGGATCTGCGAATTAGAAGATTCTTTCTCCATTTTTTTTTTTTATTTATTTTTTATTGCAATGTGTTCAGAATGAACTATAAGTAGGTAAATGTTGCGGCGATAATTGGATTACAACGGAACGTTCTGTTTCCTTTAAATTAACTACGTAATATTGCTTAATAATGCAGATTTCAAATTCGCGGGCTTGGAACGTTTTAACTTTCTCACTTCGTTGATGATCAATTTGTTAGGATCTATTGAAATTCTTCGACGATATTTTTCATAACAATTGTTCAATTTCTTCTTCGACCATGAATATTCCAAGGTGATTTTTTTGTACTATTTAGTTGCAGGGTAAGCAAGAGGAAGGAATAGAATTGAAATTCGAGTAAGGATTAGTACGCGAGATAATTATAAATTTAGCATAGTTCGAAGATGGTAAAACGAACGAAGAAGATACTCAGATAAGATTTTCTAATTAGAAGATTCGTGTAAAGATTTATTACTAGAAAAGTGACGAGTGATTTGATAAACAAGCTGAACGGTAGTTCGATCCCAGGAAAATATTCAAGAGGGTGGCCGAAACGTTGCTTCTGCACGGTATATTTAAAATACGAAAATGCTTCCTAATAAAGAAGGTAAAAAAAAAGAAAAAAAAACACTTCGGTAAAGAGACCCAGCTGTTTTTCGAAAAGGGACAAAATCTCACCACGATGGCATCCATAGTTTACTCAGCAACGAAATGTTTTCTTGCAAACCGACAGATGCCCGAGTGTTTCTTTCCTTTCCTTTTGTATCACGGAGATAAACGCGAAATTTATTTAACTTCGTCCCGCTCCGAAAACAGTGCATTTTCCTCGAAAGTATTACACGTTTAGAAAAAGATATACAAATAGACAAATTGACCAACATTATTTGCAATTTACGTGTCAATTTTCTAACAAACGTTAAAACGCGAAAATATCCAACAATTTTTGTTTACCAAAAAAAAAAAAAAAAAAAGCAAAAAGATCATTTCTTAAATTGTACATAATCACGCGTAACATAAAAAGGGTCAAAGAAAAGTTGAAGATATTTAAAATTAAGGACTTTCTTTGTAATTTAATTACAACTAAATTTAAGCATTCAATGTCCCGTAAAATTAATTCGGCGTTAACTGGACGCGCTGCAACTGAAGAATTAGGTAAACGATAATATTACTATCGTAGTGAGAAACGCTATAATCCCTTTTGAAATAATAAAGGCTCACGCCTGAGCTCAGTTTCAAGTTTCGTCAGTGGGGGGTCCGGTGGAATTTTACGTCCTTTTCGCATTCGACCATTTTACCCTAGACGATTAGACAAACTGTTAAAACTATTCTTCCTTTACGTTCTAATCCTAAGTACCTAATTAGGTGTCAAGCGTTATTACCCTAACGAAGAAGAGTTACAACGAGTGTACAGGCCGAAAAGAGGGAAGAAACCCGACTGAAATCGAAATATAATTATATTTAACTTGATCGATAATTCATATCTCTCGTTTATACCTTTCCCCGTTTGTTTCTCTCCTTTTTCGTCATATTTTCTTTGTAAATATCGGCATCTTGTCGTTAATCCAAATTAATGTCACGTTTATTGTCATTTTTACTCGAAAAGCGATGAAGATTTTTACGCGAAGCTACGGAAATGTATGTAATCTGGACAGAGTTTAAATGCCAGAGGCTTTCAACGAAGGAAAGAGGTATGGTTAAGGGGAAAAGTGGGTAAGGAGAAGCCGACAAATAGGTTTTACGGCTCACTTCCTGTCCGTCGCGCGCGACAGTTATGCGCCCCATAATAAGACGGTGGTTACTTTCCGAGACAGCTTGAATTACGAGCGAAGGAATAAAATCATAATTTACGTTCCACCGATGCCACGATACGTGTTCTTCTTCTTCCTTTTCTTTTCTTTTGTATTTTCTTCGTAATTCATTTGCGATATCAAACGAAAATCGGGAAGTTTCTTGAAAAGATGTTTGTACGATGTTGAATTAAACAGAAATTGAAAGTAAAAGTTCTTCATATTGTTTCAAAAACCGAAATCAACATCGTAATTGTTTCGAATTCCTGGTATGCAATTGCTTTTTGTATGAATTTTTAAAAATTCAATTTGAAATTCAATTAGAATTCAAGTTGAATTCTATCAAGTATTTTGAATTTTCAAATTCCGTCCAGTGCAATTTTCAATTTTCAAATTCGTTGAATTTAATTTTCAAATTCAATCGATTCAATTTTCAATTTCTGAATTCGTTCAATTCAATTTTTAAATTCATTCAATTCAATTTCAAATTTTCAAATTCACTTAATACAATTTTCTATTTTCATTACGTAATCGTAATTTTTCATGATAATGAGTAAAAAATAAGAAAGAATCGTACAAAATCGTAAAGTGCGTACGAAATTTTATATCGAAATTTGTAACGCATAAACAACGCAACTCTGCTTAGATATTCTGTGAACAAAGACGCGTAAACAACCGTGCACTGAAAAAAAAAAGAAATCGAACATATACCACTTTTCTGCGTCGAAGTCATTGAGATTATTTTCTTAAATGACAGAAAATTTGGAGAACTTCTTAACATCGTGCTGAAGTATTTTCCGTGTAAGTGTTCCTAACTGCAGAAGCCTTTCGAAGAATGGATAAACAGACTGAAGGATAAAATAGACTTTCTATCTCGTGGCGTTAAAGGACGAAAACGAGAAGCTTCATTTACGAGTGGCCACTTTACCGCAAATGTTTGTTCGTTCGAACGGAAGTCCTGTTCGATCGTTTTACATGTTACATGTCTCTATTTATTTATTACAAGATATTTTTCTCAGATCAATCATTGATATCATATGAGCCACCCAGAAGCTGAAATAATTAATTCCACTTTATGAAATTCTTCCAATTTTAATATCAAAGCACATGCTTAATGCTTAATTTTTCATAAATAAAGCAAATTTCATGAATTTAATTTGATAGAGTTAATAATTTAATGGAATTTTATAATTTAGAACAATATTTCCAACGAACCTTTAAATTTAATTTATAAAACGCAAGCTCCTTCTCATTCCACAATTTTTTCCATTTTTCTTTTTGTTTTAATAAGACCATTATGTCATCGCTATAGAATTTCCTTGGATTTTCATAAAAGTATTTTTCGCTTTCGACACGAACTTATGGGATAACCTAATACAACATATTTCAACGTGAAAAAAACCATTAAGAAAACAAGAAGCTTTGTAGTAACGTAATCTAATTGTATCTTCGAGAATGGAATAAAGACACAGGACGTTAAAACCTGCAACATGTGTTTCACAAGTAGGTGTATCTTCGAATCACCAAATAGTTAAATCGCTACACATCAAATAAACTATCAGATAAGATCTGTGACTGCCAGTAGAAACGGTTAGAAGGTATTTTGTTATTTCAGGACAGTTGAGAATAAACATGTTCGAGACACGAAATTTCAGTTCCCGCAGATACAACGAGATAACACGTCATACTGTGGATGTTCCGTATAAGTGTGACGGAACATCTGTACACTTCTTTGCTTGCAACCCATAGTTTTATCACGCATGTTTTTGTCCACCAAAAACCAATCATCGATGCTCTACCGTAAATATTCAGTAGATATTTTAATTTGAAAAAAATTTTAATACTGCGTCTTTTTTATTTTATTTGCACTTCGTATAATAAAGAAAGATGAAAAAAGAATTTAATGCCATTTAACCCTTTCGTTGCAGCAGATTGTAGTGCGTAACACGCGTGGCAAATGGGTAGATACTCAACCACAGTCGCGAAGTTTTTTCTTTTCGACGATTATTAACTGTAATTAATTATAAATTAAAGTGGAAATGCACCAAAAGAATAAGATTAAGAATTAAATTATAGTGAAAATACACCAAAAGGATAAAATTAAGAATTAAATTAAAGTGGAGATGCACCCAAAGTCACGAACAAATTTTCAGTGAACGCAACAGCAATGAAAAAATTAAGCATGATAAACGTTCGATAAATTGAAATTTTTATAATTTTATTGCAATTTTTGTACGTAACTGAATGAAGGATTAGAAAAAACTTCCCATAACCGATGCGTCATCGTGAACACAAAAGAAAGTTCATTTGTTGACGATCACGTGGAGGACATAAAGTCGCAATTTCCGGATAGATTTTTGAACGCTCAAACAGCACTTCGCACGTCACGTATGTTCAGTTGACGCTTCGTGCATTCCTTTCACGTAAGCTGATTGTGTGATTTCATCGATGTCGCTGCAATAACTCTTCAAATAAATAAGAAAAAAAAAACAGGAAATGTTTTTCAAATTTCGAATTTTCTGATATGATGTAATTAAGTATTTATGGAAAAATACTCGACATATTGAACGGTAAAAAGATAAAAATCGGTCTTACTAATAATAACTTAAAGACAAAGGAAATATTTCGTGGAATGCTTAATAGAAATCTTACACGTTCTTTTTCATAGTTTATTTGTACGTATATATTCTTTTTTCATTTGATCGTAAAAAAGTCGAGTAATCTTGCAATATTATTTTGCAACGTGACAATCTATCTTGCAATTGACTGATGAAATATACGTGAGTGCATACAACTCGAATATTGTTCCTGTTAACTCTTTTAGTGAGGTGTAGAAATTAGTGTTCTTCTTTTTTTACAAAAAGTAAATGTTTTTATAAAAGTATTTCAAACGTTGTATTTATGAACATTTTAAATGTACGAGTGATTGGGATTAATCGGCTTTTCTATAATGCATAGAACAATTTTACAAAGCACACTGATACAGTACGTTGAACATAGTCCTTTACAATCATGAACATTGAACGTTAGTATGAATAGCTTATAATACTACATAATAGTAATTGCAAAAATAGAAATGATATCGCATAACATCGTCTTCTTTTAATGGCTTGACAAGGAAATGCTCTCCTTCATCACTTACGTTAGCAATCCTGAGAATCGGCTGCTTTTCAGAACATCACAATATATCTTTTAATTATTATTTACAAAATACGGTTTATAAATACAGATTTCGTTGTCCATTATATTGATTGTTACACCTTTGATCGAAAATAATCGTTCTGACTTTTAAATCAATTTCATACAATGCCCAATATTGAAATAGAGGTAGTGATTGCTTTCAATTAATAAGTATCCCGTGTAGCATAAACACAAGAACTTACGAACCCATGACTATATTTCTACCCATAAATACTAAATCTTCAATAATCTGTCTACACGTCGACAAAGCAAACTTGAAGGTTCTAATGCGCATGCCTATGCAAATGAGCGAAAAATAGACGGGCGCGCCATTCTCACTACTCTAAAGTCGTAGATAGTCGCCACTTGAGGGGAAGTTGGTGTAGGTAAATGGCTTATTCCAATGATCTTCAATCAGCTGTCGATAATATAGCGCGCTGATAACAGAATAGGAACAGAATAGGAACAGAATATTTTAATAGTACCTATATAGGGCGCTTTAATAGTATATAGGGCGCTCATTTCCAAAAGACTCAAATACAATAAACTGTTCTTGTAAAGGAAACCTCGGAAAATGTAGAAATGTTTTTTAAGAGTTAAAAAACTGAAAAGTAAACATTTTATTGCTATTTCGAGAATGACAATAGTAGTTTTCGGCGCTTAGAAAAATTGCTTATAAAGCTAAAAAATTACAGATCGGCAAGCACTGTTTCCGCGCCGCGAAAATCGGTACGTGACTCATCTGTTACCGACTGCTCACACGATCATCGTCTATCGTTTATTCATTATCAGCGAATCGTCACAAATTCTCCTCCATCTCCCTCTTCCTGATCGTAACTACACTCTGGACCTTCAGCTTTGATTAGTAAATAGATTATTACGAAAAGTTAATATCTGTTTTAACAAAAATGGCTTTGGGTAGAACACATGAAGACCTCCACGAATGACTGTATGTAGCGCACTGGGATTTTATACTATAAGTAATTCAACTTTATTGATAAAAAAATTATCATCACCATTGATGTCTGTACTTGCTTATATCCATATATTAGACCTATTATGCACTGTTGACCAGTCGCCGGCGATCAGGTTGTCGGCAACCACTGGATTTGAGAGAATATGTGAGCTCGAACTTACGCACTTGGTCGCGGCGACCAATGAGTAGCAACATTCCAAAATATTTACATACATTAATAGATTGAAACAGAACACATTGTAATGAAAGAAATAATTACAACAATAGTTATTTTTTTAATGGGTACACACATATATACAATCAGTCGTTTAATTTTAAAAATCTCACATTGAAGTCACACTTTTATCTGTACAAATATTGTAAGAGTACCTTTTTATAAAAGCCCTTATTATAAACACTTAAAATAAATATAGAAACAAAATAAAAGATTGGCTAATTATTCTCGCCACAATTCCCTTCAGTGAATGCCTCCTTCCTCTTTGTTATTGGTTTTCTAACAAATCTACTACAGATGCTGATTGTCGAGGTCGTATTTCCAACGGTGGTGCCTCACCATATTATATTGGATATAAAGCTAGAACAAAAATTAACTTGTTGTACCATCTTTGTAATTTTTATTGGCAAAAACTAAAGTCATCCAATTTATATTAATTGCTGATAACACATATTTCTTCCGCATCGCAATAAATTTATGTTAATACAAATAAAGAAAAAAGAAGCAAAGAAAATAATTACGTTTCTCTGGTGTTTCCCATGAAATAAGATTTTCTGTGACTATACTCCTCTTTCTATCACTAGATTGTGCCCTGCTCCTTCTAACATGAGGAGTCATGGGTAATGCTGGTTTGCTTGTTTCAC